TAGGTAGGGTGTACTCCTGGAGTGCATCCTGCCTAGGCAGGGTGCACTCCTGGAGTACGATTTTGGGGGGAGTACGCTGTGCCGCCCACACCGGACAGCCGCTCAACCTCACCCGCCTGACTACCTTCCAGCAGAACTTTTACCCAGAGCCACTCAACTCTTGAATTCCTTTTCCACGCCATCCCAGTTGGCGCTACCCTCTCTCAGTGCCGGCTTTTACTGAGCAACTTTAACTGCAATGATTTAGCGGCATAGATTCCAGGAAGACTTCTAGAGAAAAGTAGTACAGCACTAATTATAAGAACATGTTTTTCTAAATCAATATCACAGTTCAGATTAGGTTAAGTGTATTTTAATTGTATATTGCCTTCCTACACAAATGTTAGCCTGAAATGCCTCCTCAAAAACATGCGCTATCTATTCAGTTACTCAATGATGGTATTGGGAGATGGCGTGGAAGTAATCAGCCCCTTAGTTCAAAACCCTAAAAGTAAGCGGCGGTGAATTAAAAACTGTTCTGGGATGTCCATACAGAAGTTCCCCTGCGTGCAAAATGAAAACGCCATAGACCCCGTTGGCATGATGCTGGCAACATAGAACGCTGGAATAACATCTCAGAGTTCTAGTCAGTTGCACATCATTCGTCGGCAATTTAATAGTCAACAGTATGCACCGTCTAGTACAATATACGTAGAAAGACCATAAAAATTCATCATCTAATCTCAATCTTCGTACGGGTCAACTGTAATCTCCGATTGATTATTCAGCGAAACGTGCTGAAAAAAACTCTTGAATGTCTCATGTAGATATTCCTTCAACTGAAGTTTGAATTCCTGAACGGCGTGCCGAGGATATATATTCGGCACGCGATGAACCGTCAGAGGGTGGTCGTCCGCAGGACTACATACGTCAACCATACCTTCGCTGTTTCATGGTACCTTTCATAAATTACGATTGAAAAGCAGGAAATCAAGGGCTTTTTGGATTGCAAAGATTACTCCACTTTTAACCTTCAATTGCTCCCAGTTCCTTTTTTTCTTTTCGACAACATGGATTTGATGCCCAGGAATCGCAATCCGGCGTCGGGATGCCGTTCCCCATTTTCCTATTTCTACAAGAATGTCGAGATACTTTAACTTTATAGGCCAGCCTTTCTTCGTTATTGCTTCCTTAAGGAATCAAATTTGTCGCTAGCAGCAGTTAAGCGAAAACACACCTCAAATCGAGGTAGAACCCCTGGTGTCATAGGAATCAAACGGTACGAGGTTACCAAGTCGTTTTCCAAGTCCATCGCTGAGAAAGAAGAGGGGAACAAGTTCTGCGCCAACGGAGACTTTGATAAAGCAATCAGATCTTACAACAAAGCCATTTTACTGGTGACCCATTCTTGCTGAACATTGCTTTTTTTGCACACACAAAAAATCGTCATTAAGGTCTCATACTTAATATTTCCTGATCCTATCCTCGATTTTCTTCTCAATTCCAAAAATCAGAATGGTGAGGCCCCATGTCAACATCTAATATTCGCTAACTAACGTAATAAATCCGAAGTGCTGAAACTAGATTTATCTTTTTGATCTTAGATGTCGCTGCAAAAAGCGGTATTTTTCAAAATAATCATTCTCATTCTCTTATTCGGCTTCATTTAATCGTTTTCATTCTTCCCTAATTCGAAGCTAAAATTATTCTTTGTAGTCCCCTCTATTAGTGAAGTTTATTGGTCACAAAAACCTCAATCATAGTTTTATACTGGATTATATGCGCGCAAATATGTATAGATACATTAAAGTTTTAGGTTAAAACATGCAAGATGGAAAAAATGCAGAATTTAGCATGTTTTAAAATTTTTTCAAGTTTTTGTGAAGCTGTTGAATTACTGGCTTCCAAATAATTGTAACATTTCTCTAAATTTTGAGGATTATTGGCTTCTAAAAATCATTATTCCAATTTTATAAAAAAATAACTAGTTAATTTTTTATCTATAAAACTGCCATTTTACGGAACAAGCCTGCTGATGCTAACGCTTCATATAAATTTCTAATTTACGGCATTTAACCGCTCAAAATGTCACTTACAATTACTTGAAAATGAAGAATACAACTGTAATTATAGTCAAATATTTGTTTCCCGTAAATGATCGTGACAGGCTCCATGGGACAAAACACGTGAAGAAGTGAACGCTCTCGGAATCGCATTCGCCAACAGATCCGCTGTCCTTTTCTCCACAAACAAATTCAACGAGTCCTTGAAAGATTGCAAAAGAGCGTTGGATTCCAACCTGAACCCGTCACACAGACACAAGATATTCCACAGAATGTCCAGAATTTACGCGGAACTTCAAATCCCGTCCTTGGGAATAAAGGCTATTCGAGCTGCTATCGAAAATCTCGTCGAAACCAACAAAAATGACGAAGCCACGTTGGAAAGATACAAAGAAACTGAAAGTCTTTTAATGCAGAGTTACAGACTGCCTTCGCCCCTATCTTAAACGCTTCGACTAAACCTAAATCTTCTCGGCGACCTTGGACTAAACGGTCGTTTGTACTAGTTGCTAAAACCGCTCATGTTCTAATTTCCCCTTGGGTTGCTCAAGTTTCCTGCAGCAAGTTCTGACATAGAATTGACCTACAGTGATGAGGTGGGACGAAAATTCAAGGCGAACAGGGATTTGAGACCAGGTAAATTTTGAAAAGTATCTTGATAATAAAAAAAAATAAATGTATGAGTATACCAGCTGTGAGAACTGATGAAGTACTATAATTTTATTTACCTCATTGAACAGTGTCAGATTTTTGCGCGTGCAACTCAAAATCTTACTCCATTCAAAGAATACTTCATTCAAAATTTTGAGCAGCTTATATACATGTTTGATTTTTTGTTTAAACAATATGTTAATGCTGAATTATCTTTTTCAAGGTGAGGTGATAATTATGGAGAAACCATATGCCTCCTTTTTGCTACCTGAGCATCATCAGAGTCACTGCCACAATTGCTTTGTGCCCTGTGATCTTCCCATACCTTGCCAGAGCTGCTGTTTGGTGAGTACAATGGGCTTAATTTGTGCAACAGACTATTCTGTTGTGTGAAAAGTTTGTGATGCAAATTCAGTTATTATAAATTACCGGTACTAATTATTATTAGTTATTATTAATTACCAGCAGAAGTCTGTTATGAAGACTTAGTCCAGTGTGCAGGAAGGAAAACTGCCTCCAGAGGAGTTCTGTTGTGCAAAAATCTGTTGTGCAGAATGTCTGTTGTGCGGGGGTCAACTTTTATTTATTCTCTATAAATATCCTGAAGAAGGTAGATCTTGGTAGAAATTTACAGAAAGTTTACAGGTTTTCTGGAAATATTATCATATTTACTCAAGTACCACATCTTCTTTTATGTATGATGTATTTGATAACTGAATTTCTCAGCTTCAAATTTGGATGAAAACTTATTCCCAAACAAGATTTTCACCCTAATTTTATTTGCTGAAAATTGCATTATTTTAAAAGTGTTACCAGAATATTAACTCTGACTTGGGATTGTACCTTAATTCTATCAATGTTCAATTACTTCAATTTAAAAACGGTTCTGACTCAAATGCGCTGAAATTTGTCCATTAGAATCAAGCATGATGCACACCCAAACTTCTGAAATATAAAAAAATATTATACAGTGGCCCCCAGCCTAACAGACCTCCCATGTAAGGGATTTTTGCCAAACAGACCAGCTCTGCAAGCAGTTTTTCCTCNCCAGCCTAACAGACCTCCCATGTAAGGGATTTTTGCCAAACAGACCAGCTCTGCAAGCAGTTTTTCCTCCCGCCCAACTTTTTGTCTAACGGACTCATCCCTTGCATGAATCAAGTCTGTTAGACGGGGGTTGACTGTACACTTCTATGATGTGCACGCAGTTTTCTTCTGTGTTAAAAAAATTATTGGTACTTGAGTAAATTCAGTGGCATGAATATGAATCACATGAGTGAGTTAAATACATTTCCCTGAAATGCTGGGAAGTCTTGTTCTCTGTTCAAAATTAAAGTTAGAATACAATGCAGCTCTACTTATTTCAGCAGGCTTCTCTTTTTCCAATGAGAGGGATAATTTTGAAACTGTGGATCTTTTAATTACTCCTCAGGTGATCTTTTGCTCAGAAAAATGCCGGAAAGGTACCCAGAAAGCTCATGAAGTTGAGTGTCCAATGATGGATCCTCTTTATGATGGGGAAATTGGAACAGCTGCATTTTTGGCCATCAGGACCCTTTTCAAGAAGTCTCCAGAAGAATGGCTCGAATTTTCAGAAAGTGACATAGGAACTCGAGAATCTGACAAATTTCGGGAAACTGTTGGTCCAGTGTACGAGTCTTTGGACTACAGAAATGTGTATACCTTAGTGAAAAATACTGCTGAAAGAAAACCCCCTCAGCTGTTCCACCTGGCTACTATTGCTGTCTACCTCATGAGGGTGAGAATTGGAATTTATTTAAAAAAATTAAGATTCCCTATTCAAACTCAGCAATTTTTAAATAGCCATCACACAGTTATATGCAGTACATCCCGCCAAATTACAGTATTTATGACGCAATATTTGTGGTGAAATAATGTTTGAGAAAACTCAGCGGCCAAAATAAGCCTTATAATGAAAAATTATTTAAATGACTCAAATTTATTTTTAGAATCCTGGATTAACATAGTTGCATGTGAGTTTTCCGCCATATCAGAGCATTATTTAACGTAGAATAAAATTTCCCAGCAAAATACAGAGAAAAAGTCTTCACACTGTTCGAAAAATTTTTATAAAAGAAATCTCATTTTTATTTATAATAAATTTTTTTAAATTTGTGTGAGTTGCTCCAGAAATAATCGATTCAAAAGCAGGCAGAAACATGTGCATCTACTTTTGAAACTTCTGATAGTTTCTGAACTAAATCTAGTACCACGCAAATTATCATTTTTTCTGGAGAAATGTGGTTATAATACATGATTAAGTATATTATGTGAAATGGAATTTTATCTTTGGATATCTTTATATCTGGGCGGGTGGCTGGAATAACGTCGCCAGGCCCAACCTCGTCAGCCAGGAATAATGTCGTCACGAATTAAACTCGTGGCAGAATATCTTTGTCAGGAATAACATGGTCTTTATGTTCTACGGGAGATGTTGGGACTTGAGGAATTTTTTGCTGTACGAGGTTGGTCCAGTTGTGAAGTGCTGGAAGATTTTTTCACGAGGTTGTTCCAGGATAGGCTTGATGACAGTAATCCGGTGTTGGAATTACGACGTTATTCCACCATCCCATCTGGGCACATATTTTTTTTGCGTGATCATGGAGGGATTTTTTTTTATCATCAGGTCATCCAAGAATTTGGCTTCCACTACATTCCTCAAGACTGGTCAAAGGCCAAGACAGAAAAACTCATTCAAATTATGGGTGGCATTCTTTTCCGTCATCTGCAAAACTTCCCTTGCAATGCCCACGTCCTGTCAGCGTTTGGAACACCTCCGGAAGTAGACAGAGATGAAATCACCTGGGAACTGAAGAATTCCGAAGTTTGCAAAGATGCCAAAATTGCCCTGGGAGTCGCAGTGTATCCTACCCTGAGTCTCATCAACCACAGCTGTGACCCAAACTGTGCCAGGATCGACTTGGGTCAAACTTGCGCCTTAAGGGTCCTCTATCCGATTTCCAGGGGCCAGGAAGTGACTTGCAGTTATGGACCTCATTATGCAAAAAGCAATCGACTTTTGCGTAGGGAGGAGTTGAAAGCCAGGTACTGTATAGCGACAATTTGAATTATTAATCGGGAATTTCTGAAAGTCAATTTGCTGGAGTGCCTTGTGCACTTTTTTCTCTCTCTCAAAAATGAGAGGGAAAAAGTGGGTGCGCATCATTAGTATACATTTTTAAAGTTCCAGAAATTTAGGTCTGCATTAAATTCGATTCCACAGGGTTGGCTAAAAAAAAGTGAACCAATCTTTTACTTGGGATATCTCCATTGAAAATCAAGCTAAAACAATTAAAAAAATACAAAATGAAAGCGTATTCAAGTCTCTTTCAAATGGTTTTTATGTTTTATATATATAGTTGTTTCATCAAACGGATTTGGGTTGGGTGGGGAGGGGGTTTGGATGTGGAAATCTTGATTGTACCTTGTGAACGCTGAAATGCGGCAAATAAATTGTTCTGTTCATTCATTCATTCATTCATCAAACGGTCACAAAAACCATTTGAATGAAAACTTTCACATAAAAATATTGGGTTCACGTGACTCTTCCTGCTAAGCTGCTGTCTCCAAAATCTCCCAAAAATTGCCTTAAAATTTTGACAACCCACATCAGTGCACAAGAAACAAAATCCAAGATAAACAAAGAGAGGAAAAAAAAAGCCCATGAAAAACCACCTATGCTAAAACCAGAAGAATCACCCCAATTGAAAAATCGGTTCACTTTTTTTGTCCTACCCTGTATATGAAATATGTTGGACCAATTTCAATAGAAAACTCACTGTAATGGAGTAATAGGAAATTAGGATCAAATCCTTTCTAAATCCAAGTTTGGGTAAAATTTTTTTTTGAAAACTTGCAGTTCTTGAATTGCTAGAAATGAGTTGCGTGTCTTACTCAAAATACAAAAAATAATACTGTACTACAATAATATATTGTTTTAATTGTATAAAAATTTACTGAAAAGGTGCGTGGTACATAAGTAAATAAGTTTTTTTTATTATTTTCTTTCCTGGAAAAGGTTTTTATTCAAGTGCCAATGCCTGGCTTGCACACAAGAATGGCCAAATTTTCAAACCCTTCTGGAACAGAGAGAAAAGTTCAAGTGTCCATCCTGCCAAAATGCTTACAAGCAACACAGGGGTATTGATTGTGACGAAGCAGAGCCTGAAGTTGAATACATTTGCCAAAAGTGCAAACATGACTTCACAGACCTAGTCTATGTAAAGTATTCTGTATTTATTCATTTTTGTTGTTGTAAAAATCTTATTTAATTCATTTATCTGCAAACAGACTTACAGGAAGGAACAAAGGGAGTACCCCAAGCATTTTGCTGAAGTTCTTGGAGGAAAAGCTACTTCAGAAAATGGAAGATTTCTAGAAAGGCGCATGGAAACTCTGCATCAACTTCTGATGAGGCCTTCAGGAGAATTTCATGATTCTTATGCAACTCTTTTGCAGTATTACACAGGAGAGACTGAGGAGTGACTTTTGCAGAGTTGTCAATGTTGATTTTAAAATTGTTCATATAGTTCCTGGGGGTTTTGTGCAATGCACCTGTCAAAACCATGCATTGCAGTGTATTTAAAATATATGGTTCTCATGTATGGATTATTGCTTGTTTTTCTTCAAGAGTATATGAAATTGACAACAAATCCCATAAATATTTGTCCACTCAATGGCTTCTTTTTCATGTGTGCAAATTATATAGACAATACCGTACTAGTTGAGCCTTCAATTTCGAAAAATTTTAAAAGCTTTTTTTACAGATCTTCATGGCTTTGCTGTATTTATATTTCACAAGATTCAATAGTATTTAGTTCCTTGACTTATTGGTGTGATGGACAGCGAAAATGAAATCCAATTTTTTCAGTTTTTTTTTGGAATCACCCGATTTTTAAGTTCGGTAGTTTGAAAATCATATACTCCAATCCTGTTCTATTATTCAAGTGACCCTCAAAAGGCTTTAACTCAAAAAGTTAATTGTTTCCGTCAACTTAGTTCGAGATGATTCGAAATTAATTTTTTTACAGTCTGTGGGTGAATTTTGATTGGGATACGAAATTTTGTTTCAATAATTAACTGATCAGCATAATTATTTCCCGGTGGAGAGGATGCACTGAAAAATTAGGGTTCAAGATAAAAAAAACAATGGAATGAATTTTACTTTTCAGTGTTGACCGGTTTTATTTAGAGTCCTTTTTCTTGACATAACAACACACTTGTGAAGAACCACAACACATTTCACCAAGTAACACGCACAGAGAACACATTGATAGTATTTATAATGCTTAGAAATTATGTGTCAAGAAATTTTCATTCTTGATTGATTTATTAATAATTATCAAGGATAATATACAAACTATAGTTTCCACCATGAATCGAAAAGGGAAAACATTTCAACGAAAAATTCATTGAATATTATGCATGGATTTCATTTCAAAGGGCGTAAAAAGATAACTAAACTTAAAATAAGAGAAAAGTAATGCATTAAAATCAATAAGTGCCCGACATTCAAGTTTCCACAACCTTTTTTTTTCCTCTTCCCAAGTATTGAGGAACGTTTGAGGGGATATATGAACATTGAAATTTTCCTGCATTTCAAAGCAATACACGACAGGCATTTGGAAACACTGAATTTTCAACAGTTCAAAGGAATCATTGATCCAAGAACATTAACATGATTGGTGCTCATTAAGAATTGAATCGAATAATTTAAAAATTGCTGCTCAACCAACCGAAATTTGCACCTGGCTATGTTGTATTTTGCGATTAATTATCTGGAACAGCTTTTAAATAATATATAAGACCAGGGATACGAACGAAAATTGATTTGATGATATTTAAATAATTTGGGATTCCTTCACGCGGGAAAAGCACTTTTTGAAAATGTTCACGATCCAAGCAATCGCTCCGTACAAAGAAAACCCCAGAAATAAACCCCAAGCCCCTCCCAATTCACTGATCAGCTCATTGATTCCATAAGTGTAAACCTGAGAAATAACTTCAACCTGACTCCCAGTAGAATAAAACTCGATCGAAGTGTCCGTTTCACGAAATTTCTGCACAAACTGGTCGAAGGTCAAATCGCCTCTTTTCTCCGGAGCCCAAGGCGAACTTTTTTGCGTTTCAATGAAGTCGTAGCGAACCATTCTGCACGAGCTTGGGCAAATTTTTTCGCAAAACGCGAAGTAACTCTGCTTCATGGCAACATCATTAGACAACTGGAGGTTGATAAGATGATCCACGAATTTCTCGAATTCTTCAACGGTCTCGCAAATTCGCGTTTTCTGGATTCCTTGGATCGGCAAAATTGAGTAATTTCTGTATCCTGGTAATCTGCACAATCCTGTTTCTCCCAGCAGTTTGTAATCCAAGCAAATTGAACGACACTGTAGAAAAATGATAGAATTAAATTTACGGGCATTTTTCAGGACTTGAAAAAAATTGAAAATAATAATTAATGAAAAATCATTTTCAATTATGAAAATTGCTCTAAAAATAATAATATTGGTCTTGTGTTACAAAATGTGCAGCTCATCTGTTGTTGGGGAATAACTTACCCAACATAAATTTTGAAGTTTTTGCAAAAGTGGATCAAATGATGAATGAATAAAACTTTGAATGAAGCTCAGAATTAGCCTGGGACAAGGCCGGAAATCCTTCTAGGATTTTCTGATAAAAAACTAATTAAGAAAATATTTGTTTGTCCCAAAAATAAAGGTTTGAATAAAAGATGTCAACAATCCTTTCAAAAACCCAGCAGAACTCTTTGAATTTCAGAATTGGAATTTTGCAAGCACTTTTCACACACTAAGTTTGATTGCAAATGTGGCTTTGTTCATCCGTGAACAAATCTTGTGTGGAAATTTGTTCCAGTTTTCATTGTTCATTTGCTGTGTGGTTTTCCTTGGGGAGTTATTTCCCTTTGAGGGTTGGTTTTCTTATCAGATGCTGGTTTATTAAATTCAATGTTTTTATTTGGTGCGTTTGTGGTTTCCCAACATCTGTACCATGAAAACTAGCTATGTGAATTATAAAGAGGCTCTTTCGGTTTTTTTAATCACTATACTGTTTTGATATTTAGTAGAGCCCTTGTACAAAAATAGCAATCAAAGTTATCTAATATCAACGTAATAAAGTCCAGTGTATTCCAGTTGGGGAGAAACTTACCTCAACATAAATTTGTTAGAAATTTGCAGGTGGATAAAATTTGTAAATTAAACTTTTGAATTTGTTAAAATAAAAGACAGAATCAGCCTGGGACTAGGCCGGGGAACCTTTCGGTTTCCCTAATTAAAATTGATTGAATGTATTTCAAGATTTGTCCAACAAAATAACACAAAAAGGTATTCTTTTTGGAAATTGCAACACTCAACAGAACTCCAACAGAATATTCATGAATTTCATGAGTTTCACAACAATCTGCACTGTTCAAGGGTTCGATTCGAAGTGAAGTTTTTGCTGTTTTCTGTGGATTGGGGAAATGGAAATTGATTTCTGGTTTTTGGTGAGTTCCTTCCCTTTGAGGGTTGGAACTCTTATCAAGATTTTCGCGCGGTTTTTTATGTAAGGGTTTTCCTAGTGTTTGGCGTGCGGCGCGGTTTTTTATATGATAACTGGTTTTTGCGTGGCATTTCCCCAACATAAGGTCAGGGTGTATATTTTTCCTTCTTTATTCGAAATGTGAAGATAAAAGCTGATAACATAGAGAATATCTTCAACCCGCCGCAAAGTTTTTCTCCTGAGTCAGTTATTTCTTCATTGTGCATCACTTAATATTTCTCCGAGAAAGCCAAAAAAATTAGTGATATGACAAAACTATAAATCATCTCGGGAACATGTTTTTATCGTTAGTTTCAATAGATTATAGTTGCATTATTTCAGGTCACATAAGGTCAGGGTGTATATTTTTCCTTCTTTATTCGAAATGTGAAGATAAAAGCTGATAACATAGAGAATATCTTCAACCCGCCGCAAAGTTTTTCTCCTGAGTCAGTTATTTCTTCATTGTGCAGCTTTTCTATGGATTTAATTTTAGGAAAACGGATTCTAATTATCAAAATGCAAATTACCCATATTTAATTATCATTATTTTTTTTGGAATACACACCTGGTGTCGAATTTGAACTCGGAATGGATCCGAAGTACATCCATGAGAATCTTCTTGCTCCAAATGCACGAATTGTTTCATGCTCACCTGGAACTGAATTGACATGGTTACTTTTAATTTTTCCCGTGGAAGAGAATAAACGGGTTCCCCTGTGGGCAAATCCCAAAAGTGCACGTCCAAAGGCATCGCTGCATAAGTGTCGATTTGTTCGTAAGGTTGTGTCGCAAAAATCCCAAACGTCGGTAATTCCTGTGAAGTCAAAACTCTTTCCTGAAATTCTCTGAAAAGGAGAAATGTATTCATTTACAGGATATTAGCAGAGGGGGAA